GTGTAGGAACTACACATCAGTCATTGGTCAATAACTACATGCGATACAATGTAATCGCATGCGGTACATGCGATTAATTAATCATTTTGCTCACATAGTTCCTAGATGAAAGTATAAAATATTTACTTTTGAAACGCTTTTCAGGTTGAGTGTTGCATGGAAATGGTGAAAATATAATTCGTTATGCCATTTATAAGTATGCCCTTTCAGTCAGTATGGAATGATTACTCTAATATATCTTTGATATTTTTCACTTACTACCAATCACCAAATAAAAAATATAGCATGCCTTTTTATAATAATGCTTAGAATACAACATTAATATATTCTAATTTTATTTATTTAATCCAACTCTTTTCCTTATCCCCTTTATTACATGTACATGTTTTTTGTTTTATATTTTTCTCTTGGATATTTTTTCAAACCCATGGTTAGTAATTTCAGTTTATTTTGCGAAATATTTTTTAAATAAATTAAAAGTGTGGATTATATTATTTTTTACTTTTGGGTTTGTTTCTTCACTAACTTTGCTTAACCATCCATTCAAATCTATTTATTTGGACTAATTTACTTAAACTTAGTTCATACATAATGCATCACACACATAATACCTAAACAAAAAGTTATATACAACTTTACTCTTTAAGTAGCCAACTTAGGAAGCACATTGTGGCCAGCTGTTGACCGTTACTGTCGTGATAAATCATACTTGATGGGTAAAATATAACACCAGCAAGAACATACAAGCTATAAACATCGCGAAACGAGGGCTTTGCCTGATATATCACTAAAGTGCCACACCGCACTATTAGGGCTCATACATGTCTGCATATGCGTCCCTTACGTTTAATATTTTGTTTTATAGTATACTCATATCATACAACAAATATTTTAAAGAAAAATTTAAGTATGAAACATTTAGTTTAATATCCTTAGGATATTATATAACCATATTAATAGAAGCATTTATGGATTGAATGTGTAAAATTATTTTAAATGACATAAAAAAATCAAGAATGTAAAATGTGTATTATTATATTTAACAATGTTCGCTTCAGTTAAATTATAACGGTATGAGATAGTTCTTTGACTACACTCTTTTCATTTTTTTTATTAATTAATTGTTCTAAATCATTAATGTATTTTACACATTATATTATTTTAAAATATGACATCTACATGACAAAAGTAGGTGCATTTTTATAATGGTCTCATGGCATGGAACAGCACTGTAACAGAAAACTGTTTCGAAATTTTTTAATTCATACAAAGGTCCATTTAAAATAAAAAGGGAAACGATATAATGTGGAGGTATAAAGGGTATTACCATCAATCCCAGAGGATGGGATGACCGTGAATTTCATTGTTCTTGGAGGACAATTCAATTGTGATCTTCCATTGTCACAGTTTTTCCATCTCACTTAAACTGAGAAATTTAACCATTTTTCAAAATCCTGTTTATTGCCTAAGAGTAGACCCTACCATTTGCTAGATGTAAATTGAAGTAAGAGAGTTAACTTTATTTTTATGTGTTTATGGTTTAATTATTTATTATGAAGACTATTTCATGCTTCAATTTTACGTTTTGTTAACAATTTCGGGTTATTTCTACCATGGATAGTTGTATTTTTTTTATAGCTTTTCTGGATTTGTAACTTAGATATAAGAATTCTCACAGTAATTATAACTAGTGTTTAGTTACTATTAACTTAGTTTTTTTTTATTCCTATGGGCATTGACTGAAGATTTTCTATCTATGTGCTCTGATAATAACTGGAATGAGTTAATATATTCTATTACACAAAGAGTTTCCCTTTGTCATTGCAACCATGTGTTTCAGAGCGACTGTATATCAATCATGAATAGCATTGACATTTTAGAATCTCACAACGTTTACGTTTGACCCTATACAATTTTGCAATCCAATAGTTTGCAATAGTAGTAATTGTGGATATTTAGTAGAAATTAGTAGAATTAGTAATTCCTCTTCTTCTATTTTCTCACAAAGCATGGGATATAAAGTGTTTTTATTCTGGCTTTATTATCCCCCATGTTTACGGCATGTATCTCTGAACATGCAGTATCAGGTATACATGCCCCAGTAATACATTAGATTGAAAATGTACGCCAAATGTAATCTAAAATGCTTTAGGTTGTTATGTATAGTATGTTTCGTATATGTGCAACACATTTCAAAACGATCACAACTATTTTGCGCATCCGATAGGTAAATTTAAATCAGTTTTGGTGAATACAAGTAGGATTCTAGCTTAAACGTCATATGCAAAAACTTATTCTTAGCATAAATGCAAAAAATTCTCATTACTTAATTTGTTTTTTTACTTGCTGAATGAATGTGGCCTTAATAGCCTTCATAATTTATGACACTCACATCTGAGTGTGCAATACATTCCGAGAACGGCAATAAAAGATTTGTGATCTTAATACATGCAACACTTTTCTACCAAAGCAATTAGCCTATCATAAGTCATAGATCATCATTTAGTTTTTATGAGCGTTAGCTTTTCTTAGGTTATTTCATTTGCTTACTGGTTGTTTACGTACCGGAGCCGTAGATTGGTGTGTAAACGCTAACTGTTAAATCAGCTGATTTAGCGAACGGGAATGATCCATCTCTACCCTTGAGCGGAAATTCGGAATTTTGCGTATTGTTACAGATGTGGCAATGTCATTTCCATGCAGTGGTGAAAAATTACAAAAGTATACCTACCTGAGGTATAACAAAAATTGTCCCTACTGTCAATACCTCTAGTTTACATTTACTTTTAAATAATGTTACCAGAAAACAATTAAATATAGATTAAATTGCACTTTTAAATCTCAAAAATAATGTTATATAGTCACAGATAATGGCGTTATATATGGTCCAGTTCAAACACGATATAGTATTTGGTTTCACTTTGTGTGTTTGACTTTGTCTCTGAACAAACTTTGAATTCAATAAAGTCGGAAAAAGAAGCACGACAAATCTTTATCCAAACTTTGTGCTAGAGGTTTCATTTATCAGTTATGTGAAAACTTTTAATGTACTCTATTGATTCAATCTAAGCTTAAAAAAGCTGAAGAAATTTTAAAATTCAAACTACTTTATACAAATTACAATTTATCATCACATAACGGTTTGGGAATACAATTCTTAATATTTTGAATCGAGTCCACAAAATATTTAGAAAATCGATTAAGGTCGAGATCTAATTCTCTCAGTTTTGTTCTGTAAAGAAATCTAGATCTGAGAGAAATAAGTCACATCAAAACTTTTGTAAAATCTATATAATGCTAACATAATGTATCTAATATATTAAGTTGATACCACAAGGCTCTAATGTGTACCTCCATAACGTTATTTCGGAGGTTAAATATTTACTGTTACAAAAATTGCTACCTGTTAAGAATAATGTTGTTTACTCCAAACCTTATGATCTTTACCCACCATTAGATCATTTGCTGATGGTTAGTGCGATATATTATGTATCTTGTATCTGTTAGATATAGAGATGTTGTTTTGCTTGGGTAGATAAAATATTATATTAGGAATTGAACATTAAATTTTGCATACAATAAAAAAGTAGTTTAAGATATTATTACAAACATGACTCACAAACTTAAAATTTCCTTTTCTACAATAAATATACAAATAATTGAGTGGATCAAATGTTATGAAGAAGACAAACGGAATCTTTGATATGTACAGTTTGTATTCAGAGTTCTGATGGTTTAAGTTACACCGAATATACTTTATATGCAATGTTAAGTAATAAAATTTTATAACATGAAATATAATCACGCAGCTCATTTTAGTAAAGAATTTCCAACTTAGCCTCTCTATTACAATAGCGTTCGATGATAGCAACAACAGATATCGGGATTATTTATTTTATCGTATCAGTTTGTTTACACATTGCAGCTCGATATGCATTATAAGCGGCTAAAAGCAAAAGGGAAATTTTTAACATTTGTTCACCCATTCCTCACATATTGTGTCACCAAATGGTGCATTTGAAATCAAACCCCTAAAAAAGTGTGGACCAAAGATTGTTTATTTTATAACAATCAAATTCGCATTCATTTCCTTTCCAGAAAGTTACCAAACTACCGTTATCTACTACCTTTATTTAGGTCTAGAAAAATAACTTAATTTAAAATGATAAGAAAGGGTAGATTTTCTTACTAGGTTTTTTTTATGTGTTAAGCCACTAAGTATTGGTGACAAAATGGCACCAGTTTGGAGTTCAATAACCTCACAGGTAGGGAATAGCAGACAAATTACGACTATATCAAAATATTTGTATTTGCTGACATAAATAAATTTTTAAAATGGCCATAAGGGCACTTAACATTGTTTTTATTTAGAATTAATTGTCATTTTCTAAATCCTCATTGAATTTCCAATAGTATACAAGTATTTGAAAAAATCGCAATTTGTCTTGTCATTCCCTACCTATGAGGGTACGGAACTTAAACTAGTGTTATTTTGTCACCGATACTTGGCAGTTTAACACATAATTGTTCAAAGAATTATTGCATACATTTTCCATCACGATGGTAAAAAATATACACAACGTTTCGGGATCGAACACATTACAACTGACAATATACTACAGAGCGTAGCAGTAATTTTTTTTTTTACTGCTTCGCTCTGTAGTTTATTCCAACTTAGGTTGGGCGTTTGTGTATTGTTAGTTGTAATGTGTTAGTTAAGTTTTTTCACCTGAGGACGGGATCAGATTCCAGATCCCGAAACGTTCGTGATGGAAAATGTCCGCAATAATTCTTTTTAATAACATTAACTCACCATCACCAACAATGAACTTTAAACAAAGGACATAACATTTGTTAACACAAACTAAATCTACTCAATAAAAAATTGTCATCATTTTCAAACTTGACCTTATCCCAGTGATATCATAACGTGTATTCAGGTAAAAAATCGAAATATTACACTCACTATTACTTGGATGCTATCTAAACTTCTGCATAAGATGTCTTGTCATGTTCCAGGGGGTGACGAGGATGTCCAGTTGAGCCTGGTTATGCAGACATTGCAGCTGGTCACACTTCTTCTTCTCCTCAGAAGTATCTCGGCCGTCATCCGTCCCCCCCTCTCCCTCGCGCTCCCCCTACCCAAGTTCTCGACCATGGCCCCCGCGAAGACCACCGATCCGGAGTTTGAGTTTCTGAACAATACTGAGTGCACGAATTGTTCGACTACACGGACGTATGCCGAGTGGCAGAGTGATGGGGTAGGAGCGTTGCCGTTTTACCGAGTCAGAAGCGACCTCCACCGGTCCCATGCGAGAGTCGTCACGATCCTGGGGTTGTTTGAGCTTACGGTGGGGGGAGTCGACAGGCCGGAGGGGCGGAGCGAGCTGGCCGCTGCGCTGCTGGCCATCAAACATATCAACCAGAGGAAGATTCTGGGGGATTATCAGCTCAAAATGCTCACCAACGATACTAAGGTAGGCAAGTTCAACTTTGTATTTACAGTTGGGGTTCATGTGTTTTTTAAGATAGGAAATTGTATGAAATAAATTACCGTTTTTAATCCACCTACACCTGGTAGCTCAGACAGTTAATCTAGTTTATTCAGTGAAGTCAGCTTATTCGTTTAAGCAGTACGGTTGAGTTTTGTTGTGGATAAACTAGTCTTATATAGTTTCCAAGCAAGATATAGTAAAAAGCCTGTTTTTTGTCTTATAACTGAATCAACTAAAAGATAAATTATCAGATAATTATAGTTCATAGGAAATACTTCATGAACAATAGGCAACGTGAACTTAAATTGTATTAGTAATCGAATGAAGGTTAACAAATTTTGGCCATATTGAATTATATTAATCATTAATAGTTTAATATATAGTTTATAGTTCATACACCTTTTTCAGTACACTGCTGTGAAATGTGGACGGCATGAAAACTTTTTTTCATAAATGACACAATTCTAAGATTTTTTGAACGACCTAAGATAATGGTGCGAACTTAATATTACTCTCACTTATTCGGTTTACCTTGAAAGTATATAAAAATTGGACAGAGCCTCGACCGTAATCCAAAACATTTGTCTAATAGATATATATTTTTTTTTCTACGCTTTTTAATTAAGTCAAGTTTAGATTAAACGTTAATAAGAAAATGATGTTGCATGTAAGACAATCAATCACATTATTCGCCTAGATATATTAGTGGTTTCTAGTTGTTCATGTATAATTGCCAAAAGGTCTGAGGTTGTGCCATGTTGTCATCGTTTTAAAAGTGAAAAAATGCATTTTTACTCATACAGTACATATATGAATGCTTTTTTTTTTTATTTTTATTAATGGTGAAAAATACCATTGAATCATTACAAAATAACAAATATCATTTCCATAAACAAAATTACGACTACAATTACGTAAATAAATAATTTATATTATAGTAAAAATCTATTTAAATAACGATAGTGCCCTAATGCTATTGCCAATTCATTATACTGACCCTCATTGCGATTTATTCAATTTGAGTTTAAAAGGTATATACCCATGACGTAATATCTATTATTTCGTCTGTTTAAATAAACGACACACACAAACCAAACAAAACCGCTGTTCAACCCCGCAATGGTCGTTCGGTCAATATGCACAGAATATGGGTTCTGGTCAATTCGAGATTGAAAATACAACCGTAAAACCTTATTTGTTCATATTTATTTACAGTAAATAGCTAGCCATAAATACATTTATGTAAAACAGTCATAGTTACCAAGAGTTTGAGTTCACTTGGTTAAGTCGTTTAACTCTTTTCGAACTGTACGAGTACTACAGTGCAATATATTTAGGTAAATAACCGGATTCGTAGCATGAACCCCTAAAAGTTATCTGTTTTAATTTAATTTAATTATTCTTGAATTTCAGTAAATCATGATGTCCAACCGAAAAGAGAAAGCTAAAAAAGTCGTAGTATTTTCAATTTTTTACACGTTTCAAAATGTTTAGCGTGTACAACTGCACAGTCTATTGCAAATACCGTATGCAAAAAGCCTCTTTGATGGAAATTAAAAGTCTTTGATTTTAAATTGAAGACATGTATAATATTTGATTTAAACCTTAAACCCAACATTGAAGGAGACTCTTTACCACAAATTGAAAAAAAAACTATTTCGAACAACTTCAACTAGTGAAGCATATTTTAGGTCCCAACACAGATTTTTCTGTCCCCTGTCCCCATATTCAGGTTAATATCAACAATTAAACCATTAATAAACCATATCATTTAAACGTGTACATAAATATCAAAATAGGATAATCATCTATGAATGTACTGCGTTATATCTACGTGGTTAACACATATATTATTTAAACGTATAACTAACTGATGTAACACAAATCAGCTAGAATACCCTTATAAGCCTCTAAGCATGTTGTTTACTAACTAATTATCTGTTGCCGCAAAAGTGATCAGGCTGAAATGAATGTAATGAACGGCGACAACCCTTCGGGGTATTTTTCAATTAACTTCGTTGTTTGAGGTTAATTGTTTAATTGTTGTTACTCAATGTTTATGTACGAGGAAAACCAGTTTTTTTATAGAGACGTCGTAGGAACTTTATGTCAAAAGTCACATTTTCTCATGTATTTACTCACAACTTTCAGATTTTAAAAAATATTTTTGAACCGAAGACCGTAAGTTTTATAATACTTTACAATGGTGAACAGCTGGCAATATAACACGTGACTATATGAAACTTGTTTGTACCTGCGGCTTCACCTGCGATGGTATAACCATAAATACCATTACATGGTGGAAGCTTATTCATTACAATGCAGTGTTTTCTGAAGATTTTAAGACCCCTTTGTCCTGAAAGTTCATTTACCCAGGGGAGAAGAATGTAGGTCTATTTCACAGAAGGCCTTTTCACAGAAATGAATAAAAAAACTCCTCTGATAAAAGATTTACCATAGTTACAATATAATTAATTTAACATCAATTTATTATAATTAATATGGACGAAACAATTTAGATATTTTTAATGAAGATGACAGTTTATGGATGCACCAGCTATCGTTCCTAAAAACCAAATGTTAACTTAAACTTTCATTTTTTTATTTTTTACAATTATTTGAACTAAAAATGTTTGACACGATGCTATCTTTTCTTCACCACCATTTATGACAAAATTCGTTAATGTATATAAATAACACTATTATTTTATTACGTCCTTGAAACAACAATAAAACGTAGGTGTTTTAGGTGTTAGCCTCCGGATTGCCAAATAATATTAGACAAGGTTTAAATACCTGCTATTAAGCAATCCAATTTTGTTGTTAACACAACTAGTTTCGGTGTCTGTGTGACACCATCATCAGGCTGCACAAGGACAGTTTTCTTTCGTCATACGAAGAGCGTCATATACTTTACACGAAAATAATAAATACACATTTAAACACGACACAAACACGAAGACGAGACATTTATGATAACTAATCAATTAAGAAAAACTCGTAATGTTGTTGACCGAATAATAAAAAAATATTCACTACTGATTCAAAATGTATAAAATGTGTTATCATTGTCTGACGGATTCTAGTGATGAGAGTTTGAGGTTTTGACGGGAAAGATCTCTTTTCTGGCTAACCTCAATCTGGAGTTAATGAGTTCCGAGCCTCATTGTATCGACTAAACCATTAGAAGCGCTACCTGAGTAAAGATCCAGCCACTAGGAGATCACAAATTGTGAACAGCTGTGTCGAAGGAATATGTCGGCCTTCGTCAGTAACAAGTCGACAAGATCGCGCCACTCATCCTACACTTTTCTCTATTCATAGTTGGCTTAAAATAACTACCTTCGAATGTTCACCATTTGAAGTAAAAGCATTAAAAGGATTTAAAAAGAAATACTAGGGGTTGAGCAGCAGGATATTTACCCCCTACTTAAAAATTATTGTAAATTATTTAATCTTTTATTACTTAAGGCTTAGTAAGCATTTACAATAAATTGTACATTAACGAGGTTATGGGAGTTCTCGATCGAGTTTTAGGTAAAACAAAGTAGATACAAAAACTAAAATAAAACGTATTTTTATTAGGCATAACTGAGATAGACTTTCCAGATCGGGTCTTGCCATACTGATTACATCCTAAAGGTACACGCATAGATCTATAAGTATGATAAATCCAGGACGATGGATGTAACTTCTGGTGCTGCTCAAGGATCCATACTGGGCCCGGACCTCTGGAACGTCGCCTACGACAGCCTCTTGAGATCCGAGATGCCTGAGGAAACTGTCCTAGTTGGGTATGCAGATGACGTTGCGGCTTTAATAGCTGCACGTAGCATTGAGCTTGCCCAGCTGAAACTAAATCGAGTCATGCGAACCATTAACGCATGGATGGCAGAACATGGTCTCTCGCTCGCTCTGAGCAAAACTGAGATTGTCATTCTGACTAAAAAGAGGATTGACACCATCGTGCCTTTGATGGTGGGGAACGTTGAAGTCCAAACCACTCGTGCCGCAAAGTACCTTGGGGTCATGGTGGACAGCAAGCTCAGCTGGCGAGACCAGATCACCCGTACGGCAGACAAGGCCGCTAAAATGGTTTCTTCCCTTAGTCGGTTAATGGCCAATGTCGGAGGTCCACGGTCCAGCCGCAGAAGGCTGTTGATGTCTGCGGTCCAGTCAGTGCTCCTGTACGGTGCGGAGGTCTGGGCAGACTCTCTCAATAAGGAGGTATATAGGATGCGGCTCGCCCGAGTGCAGCGTCAGGCAGCACTAAGGGTAGCATCTGCCTATCGAACAGTGTCCGAACCCGCCGTCCTGGTGGTTGCTGGAGTCATCCCCGTCAAACTTTTGGCGGCGGAGAGGAAGGCAATTTATCAGCGCCGTGGGGAGGACCAGGCAAGTATTGAGGAACGCACCCGGACCTTCCAGCTGTGGCAGGAGAGCTGGGAACAGGAGACAAGGGGGCTCTGGACCAGGCGACTGATACAACAGGTCCAACCTTGGGTTAATCGGCGGTGCGGAGAGGTGAACTTCTACCTCACCCAATTTCTGACGGGTCACGGCTTTTTCCGGTCGTACTTGTTCAGGATGGGCAAAGCCGTGTCACCCGATTGCATATACTGCCCAGGCATTCCCGATGACGTGGAACACACTTTCTTCCACTGCCAGCATTGGGAAAGGATACGCCTAGAGGCTCAACAGTTCGTAGGACTGCTGTTGGTGGACACGGTCATACCGATGATGATGGAGGGTGAGGACAATTGGACCTGTGTGTCACTTTACATCCAGGGTGTTCTCCGCGCCAAGAAGCTTGACCTCGACCGGGATGCGGTGTAGGTCAAAAAATAAATAATGCCAGAAACGGTGCGAGCCCTGTGGGCTTAGGTCACATGTTGGCCTGACTTGAAGTAATGTGACAAACAATTCCAGGTCTGTGTCCAACAGAGTAGAGGGGGTTTTTTAGTGAGTAGTCTGTGATAAAC